GCCGCCGCCCGCTGCCGCCATCGCTGCCACATCGGGCCGTGACGCTCAGCAGTCGGAAATCTGTGGTCGTCGCCACGCGGGGGCTCGTGGGCAGGTTCACCGGGAGTGTCGTGGTTGGCACCATGAGCAGGGCTCTCCAGCCGGCAGAGCCCTGGGGACCTGACCTGCTGCGGTGGGCTGGGGACAGGGCTGAAGGGTGTCTAGTCTAGATGGGCACCAAAGTGCTGGGCAAAAGCTCCTGGATGGCTGCAGGAGCCTATGGAAAGCATTTCCACATATGGAAAACATCAGAAAATGGGCTGATCTGCTGTATTTAGGTATGTTATAAAGCTTTTTATATGACCTAATAATTGCATCATTAACCAGGCACCTGAAGGAGCCGAGAAATGCCCGTTCCAGCACAGGTCCATGCCCCCAAACACGCAGAAACCCTCAGCCCAGCCGTTGCCTTCTCCCCGTCCCATCACTACGGGGTTTGCCCATGCAGCCGGTTCCTCAAAGGTCTCCAGTTTGGGGTGACGTGTCTCGGTGCAGCTCGAACCCCAGCAGCACAGCACCCATCTCGCCGTGGCTCTCCCTCCCCCAGACACGGGAACGGAGAGAAACCACCACTTCCTGGCGGCTGGGTTTCCTCCAGCAAATCTCAAGCTCCCTCACCATCACACCCTCCGAGCTCTTATTTATTATTTCTCCTGCCATATACCCAGCCTGAACCGATCCCGGTTCGGAGGTCGGTGAGCTGCACACAGAAGCATTTGCCAAGCCAACATCTCCAGCCATTCCCCCTGAACTGGGCGGAATCGGAAGCCAGGATGCAGGCTGCCACCTTTTGGCCAGAACCAAAAAGATTTCATATTATTATTTTATGTTAATTAAGCACAGCGATGAAGTAGCTTCTGAATTATACCCAATTATGAAACTTGCAGATAATTCACTTACCTAAGCTTACATACGACTTTCAGATGTAGTCTCATTTTTGCTTTTGGTCTGGATTTAATGCTAGCAAAATTTATTGCGATTACAGAGTGACCCCCTCTGCCAAATCTCACCCCTACCAGGTTTGGTTTTTTTTCCCAAAACCCCAACCAGAATAACAAGGCCCAGACACAGCGGGAGTTAAATAGAGGCGAGGAGCTGTGAAGGACCCCCAGGCTGAATACCAGCAGTCCCAACACCAAATCTCACCAGGAAAAAGCAAAGATAAATCTACGGGTAATTCCAAGTGGATAAAAACGAAGCTAATTTCAGAAAGAAGGTCTCTTGCAGGGTACTGCTACACCTTGAAAGCTGCAACATGAAGAATGCTGCGTTTACTGAGCTGATCGTGCCCCCAGGACACTGCCGTGGACGTGCATGCAGCTGATTGAAAAGCAGATCCTCTCCCCGCAAACAGCTTCTGCCCTTCTCGCCTACGGGATCTCAGGACATCAGCATGAAAAGAGGCCAGCCCGCCTCGGTCACCGACGCCAGCCCCATCCGCCGGCCTCAGAGGGGATGTGGAGCCGAGGGACGCGGCGCGGGACCCACCCCGGCACCCCGACGGGCCTCGGCGCTCGGGGTCAGCCCCAGCTTTCCGGGGTTGCAGAGCATCCCTCTGAAGCCACAGCTTCGGACTGCCAAAGGCGGCCGTGAGTTCTCCAGAAAGAAACTTTCGTGCAACGTAGACATCCTTTGTGCCGAGCTTTGCCCAGGCTGCCCCCAATGTCTGGCCTCAGGTGACCCTTCCACACGGCGGCCAAATCCTGGACGCCGGTGATGTCTCAGTGGGTGACAGCACCCAGCCGGTGCTCCAGCTGGTCCTCTCCCCATACCTATAGGATACGTAGTGCCCCTAAAGACCTTAGAGAGCCTAAATAACAGCAGGATTAAGCCTAAATGCGCTCACGCGGTCCAGCGTGCCTCAGGCTCCGTGCCCACGCGGGTGTCTGGGTGTATGGCCACATGTCCCCTGCTGAGCTCCATTGACCCGCTCCCTGCGCCTCTGGGCCCTACGCAGCGTTGGGGGATCCCCTGCAGTGAAAAGGGCTGAAGGAGGCATCAGCTGCAGCTTTGGAGACCTCGGGGTTGCTGTTCCCTCCGGCTGAGCTCCGGGAAGGCGTGCTGAGCCCGTTTCCCAATGCGGGGCACGGTGGTGCAGCTCTGGGCTTCAGGCTCCATCGGCCTTGGGCTGCCGACAGACCCAGGACCCTGCCTCGCTCTTTTTTGCACCGTGCCACAGGCGACTATATCACTAATCTCATCCTTTTCTATTTGTGGTACGTATTGGGGATTGCTTTGGATGGTTTTGAAGTAGAATGAATTCAGTAAATGACATTAACGTGGAGGCAAAAGCTGCTGCTGCACAAGGCGGAGAGGCTTTGGGCGGGCAGGGCAGCCTGGCTGCGGCTGCCTTCGTGTCTGGGCAGGCGGTAGCAAGCAAGGGGACAGAATTTGTGACAAATGCCCAGTCCCCCGTGCTCGTCTCCATCACTCAGGGCTCAGCGCCGTGCACCACTGCACCCGCTGCTGCCAGCACCGGTGGCTGTGCCGTGCCGCGCTGCTCTGCCGGGTGCCGCTGGCGGTTGGTCACATCTTCCCCGTCCCAGGGACCTCTGCCCAGCGGCTCCTGGCCCTGCGATGTGTTGGCCCAACCACTACATTTCGCATGGCCGTCGCAGCGAGAGGTCCGCAGCAGCTCATCCCCGTGCGGGAGGGCTGAGCGATGCCTCCCCTTCTCCCCGTACGCCTCCAAAGCAAAACCAGCCCCACCAAAACCTTACCTCGGCCTTGTGCCACCTTCCCCAGGTCTGCGTGGGAGCAGGAGAGCAGAGAGGGCATCCTCGTCGTGGCGGGAGGATGCAGCCCCTCCGTGCCCCCGCTCGGGCCTTTATCCCCAGAGCTTTGCTTCCTCCTCCTCGCCTGGATGCTCAAGTTCAAGGTAGAAAATGGAAGCCCCTCCGGTCGGCGGCTCCTGCCCCTGGGGGACCCGCAGAGGCAATGGGACCCGGCAGCCGGGGCAATGCTCAGGGTAGCACCTGAGGAAGGAGTGTCCGGTTTCCCCAGCCGCCCACCACCGCCGTTTCCAGCCCGGTGGTTTTTTTCTGTCTTTCAGTTTGCTCCTCGCCCCTTCCTGCGCCGCGGGTCTCGCTCGATCTTCCTTCCTGTCAGCGCAGGGCTGCCGCCTATGCAAATCAATGCGCGTTATCTGCTGAAAAACAGCAGCGCATGGTAACTGCTTGTAGCCGGTACGAGCCCTCGACAGCGGTGGCGCAGGGTCTGGCCCAGCGGGATGCTCGGTGCATGGCCAATTCCCCGGCCGCGGATGCTTTCTCCTGGGAGAGCCACAAAACCAGACTGACCAACATCCAAATTACACCGAATTCCCTCGAAGCAAAGCCAAGAGCTCGCCCCGGCCTTGGAGAGCCGAAGGTTTTTGCTATGTACCCTCCTCGCTAGCCAGGAATGCTGAGGAGATCCCATGGAAGAGGCTGGTGTCGCAGCAGCTCTGCCCTTCGCCGGGCCACGCGTGGCAACGTTTCCACAGGTAAATTCAAGTTGTATCTTGAACGAGCAGAATAAATGGGCAGGGATAAACTCCCCTTCCTCCAAAGCCATTTTTCTGCCAGCGCTGAATGTCTTCTCGAATTGTGAATTTCTCTCTAAAGAGACGGATCGCGTGGCACCGAGGAACGCTGCGCCCGCACCCAAGGAGCCAGAGCCGCCGGCAGCGGCGGGACCGGCAGGATCTCCCTCCCCAGCTCCGCTCAGGCAAGTGGGGTTGATCGTTATGTTGTGGTTTTGTTCTACAAAAAACCTTAATTTGTAAACCCTGTGACAGGTTTTGCTGGTATTTAGGCAAATCCTCTTCATTCTGAGATGCTGGGCAGAGAAGTCCCCTGGAGGCAGGTGGGCAGGGTGGCACAGCAGCACTGTGGCAAATAACTCTGCTTTCCGCGAGCCCCGGGGGCAGAGCCCAGGGAAGAGGGGCAAGCACCAAAATAACGAGATAATCACACGCCACGGTGGGGTTTGCTGGCATCCCGGTTTATACCCAGCGGCTCATTTTTTGGGCCGAAAGCTCCCACCGCCAGGGTGGTTTGGGAGAGGTCGGAGGAATCAGAAGTGAGGGATGAAAACAGATGAAAATAGCACGTCCTGTGAGGAGACCTGCCCTGGTGGGATCTAGCAGGTGGCTCTAATGAAGCTGCATCTAAACCTGTAATTACACATCTGTCCCTTCATCAAGTCCAGCTGAGAGGGGGTCGATGGATGGTGGTGCAGATGGTGGTGGAGATGCTAATCATAGAATCACAGAATCGTTAAGGTTGGAAAAGACCCTTAAGATCATTGAGTGCAACCGTTAACCCAGCGCTGCCAAGCCCACCACTAAACCATGTCCCTCAGCACCACATCTCCCCGGCTTTTAAATCCCCCCAGGGATGGGGACTCAGCCCCTGCCCTGGGCAGCCTGGGCCAGGGCCTGACAGCCCTTTGGGGGAAGAAGTTTTTTCTAACATCCAACCTAAACTGCCCCTGGCGCAGCTTGAGGCCGTTCCCTCTCGTCCCATCGCTTGTTCCTGGGGAGAAGAGACCGACCCCCCCAGCTCCAGCCTCCTTTCAGGCAGTTGCAGAGAGCGATGAGGGCTCCCCTCAGCCTCCTCTTCTCCAGGCTGAGCCCCCCCAGCTCCCCCAGCCGCTCCTCCCCAGCCTTGGGCTCCAGCCCCTGCCCCAGCCTCGCTGCCCTGCTCTGGCCACGCTCCAGCCCCTCCATGGCCGCCTTGGGGTGAGGGGCCCAGCGCTGAGCACAGCATTCGAGGGGCCGCCTCACCAGTGCCCAGCGCAGGGGCACCATCACCTCCCTGCTCCTGCTGGCCACACCATTCCTGATACAAGCCAGGATGCCACTGGCCCTCTTGGCCACCTGGGCACACTGCTGGCTCATGTCCAGAAATGACGGTGGAGGTGGTGGTGGAGATGATGGAGCTCTCACGGTGGAGAACTGCTGGGGGACAGGGTGGGCTCACAGCCCGATCATCTGCACATGGTGAACCGTGTCTGAGGAGGAGAGGTGGGGGCAAGCAGGAGTTTGGCCCTCCAGCCACTGCTCTGGGCTGTGCCTCTCCCAGGGATGCTCTCCGCCGGTCCTAGGGCTGCCCCTGGTAAGGGGATAAAACCTTTCCTCTCCCAAGCGTGAGGTCTGTTGGTGAATTCCCACCCCGGCAGGAGGCCGGTGTCAAGAGGAGATGGCCTCTGGGAAGTCCCATCGGCTGTCACCGTCCCAATAAGCTGTGGCTAAAGGTCCCTCACCCCAAAAATGACTGTGCAGGCAGTCGGGGCTGTACCACAGCTTTCACAATTATTCATTTATGTTAATTAATGCATCTGAATGAATTTGCAAACGTATATAATGTCCCTCGCGTATTTTCCAGGCTGTTTACTTGAGTCAAACCCAAATTTCCCAACACGTTTACTGAGTTCAGCCTACGGAGTTCCCAGCAGGTTGAGTTTGACCCGTCCCTCCGCCAGCGCAGCGTCTCTGAGCGGGCCGGCGGCACTCGGGAGGTGGCCCAGGACCCCCAGGGGTGGCCAGGAAAGCCCCGGAGACGACTCCGCTTATTTTGGGTCGCCCGGGTTTCTGGGCGAGGGGGGGATCAGGGACCGGTCCCCGAGCTCGGCCCCACGCAGACGTCATTCGGCTGGGGATAACGAACCGCCCCATCGCCGGAGGGAGCAGGCGGATGCTCCTTGGGGACAGCCGGGTTTCCACACCGAGGAAAGGCGCAGAGCAGGTTACCGGAGGACCCGCGAGCCTCCCGCTGTCGCAGCGCGGGGTCTACCAGCCTCGGGAGGCCGCCGGGTCCCCGGGACGGGAGGGGGACAACCCCTAAATGGCCTCCCGCGGGGGACACGCTGCTGCTTTCAGGCTTTTTAAGCGGGCGGTGACCGAGGACGAAGCCGGCGGCCCGGGCGATGGCTGCACCGCCCTCCCCGG